GTTTCATGCAAAATAGTGTGCCTGCCCTATTTCTGTAGTGCTTTTTTTCCAGGAAATTCGATTACTTTCGTGAAGCACATGTGCATTTGTGACGCCAGACTGGTTGCATGCTGGAAACGATGGGGTGTAACACCTGGCTCGAGCCTGCCGCCTCTGAAGAAAAAATGCGTAAAAATAACACATTTCGGATACTGGTGGATGAAAAATGATATGGGAGTTAACAGGACGTGAGTAAGCGGTTTGTTCTGTATGGTATTAGAATAATTGTGTTTACAGAGGTAGCCATTATTTCGCCCCCTGGGATGTTGAATGGGGAAAAAAACGTTATAGCGATTACTTCAACCATACTTGGACTAAGCCCCCCACTACAGATTATTTTGAGGAAGGTGCTAGCCACGACCGATATGACTTCGACGATAACGCGGTTGGATAATATCAAAAAAGACGGGTTTATTATGAGTATCTATCATATGCTACACGCAAGCAGATCCATTTATTAAGAGTTTTTTGAAAATATCAATAATTGCTACCCTCAATTGATTCTGCGTTTCTTTGATAGTCATTCGACAACTGCATATGCACTGTATAAAATTTTGCATTACCTTTGCCTCAGTTTTGTTGTTCCTGTCTACTTGTTCTTGCTGAGTTGCATGTTTGTATAGTAGCATTTTGTTTTTCAAGAACAGCATTTTGTGTGCATAAAACTTTTTCTGTGAAAATGAGAAGTATTTGGGCTAGATACTAGCAGTCTGGATAGGAATTCCGCATTATGGAATGTGCAGTTACAGCTTTAAATTAGAAACAATTAGATTGGCACTCAAATGGCCAACTATTATCACATAAGTCTTGTTACCTTTAGATTTTTAGCGGATTAGGCCTATACTTCTTATGTAATAAGGGTTTAGAGTATGATTTGATAGAGCTTTGATATCTTCAGAAAGAGATTTGATGTTTTCAGAAACTTGCGAAAAGTTGTCCAATGAAATCAACGTGTCTGAAATCACTGATACACAACTTTTCAGAGCTTTTCAACCTTTTTTCGAACGCCCTATTTCATCATGGCGTCATACGCTGGTAGTTCCTACCGTAATCCTAAAGTAATGGAGAGCGATGGATGATTCGCTCCATACTGTAAGTCTAAGCTGATGCCTGCTCTAATGGAGTACTTGAAGCTAAACAAAATACTTCGAAGGAATAGAGTTATTGACTATCAAAAATTGTGTACCTACTTTTGGGACACTCCGTATAAGCAAGTTTTTGGCTCTCTACATGCTCTAGTTTTCGAGAAACGTTGAAAATAGGAGATATCCCAGCAAAAAAGCTAAATTCGACTATTCAAAAACTAACGCTTGCGATAAGCTGAAAACTTGTGGTTGCACAACTAGAGGC